TGCCAGAAATCTGCAGGATTCATCCTGTCCTCTAACATAAAATGGCCTCACACACCAGCTTCCACACCAAGACCTGCTATGTTTTCACTGCTCATTTTATATAGTCAAAATTATTTTTCCTAAGGAAAAGCTCTTAACTGCTTCTGTTATATTTTTGTGCATGTGCTTTTCCTAGGAGGGCAGAATAAAGATGCTTCCACACACACAAAAATATATGTTCATGTTAGGTGAACAAAGGTTTTCCTAAAATTTTAAATCCTATGGCCCATTAAATTAAAAGAATAAATCATCAGAATTAAGATCATTACATATAATGTATTAAGAGACATAATTGTTACACTTTATAATGTGGTCACTAAGGGAGCTAAAAATAGGTCTTTTTACCAAGTAAAAATAAAGACATGGTCGTATTTACAAAAACATAATTTATCTCAGGGAAAAGAGTAATAATTTATATTAGGGAAAAAAATACTCTTTTGTTGTTGTTCTTCATAGCTTCCTCCTCAAGCTCTTGAATATAGCTGGCACATAATAAATATTTATGGCTATTTTCTGCCCAACTTTTTATTTTTAATAATTTCAAACATATAGGATTTTTCCCATTTTTGTACTTATTTTTAATATAAATCTATAGGTACAAATAACTATACATGTACACTACTATTAATAGCTCATATTTGTGTGACTTAAAATTCCTTAAAAATTAAATACTGGAAATTCAGAGAATGCTATCTAAATAAAGACTGCTTTTCAATAAACGAATGGGGTTGATTTGTGATTTCTTTTGATTTACAGTTTACATCTGGATATAGTTTCTCATATTAGCATTTCCATTAAAAGGTGAAATATTCCCAAGGTAAAAAACATTTATTTGTTTTCACTTATTTAGGAGACTAAAAAAAATAAAACTATGTTCTTCCAAGAAGCTGGAGCTTAGTTTACAGTTCAAAATAAAGTAAAAACCTGGTGCACAGCTCATTTACCGAATTAAGAACACATCTTTTGGTTGTTTTTAATCATGAGTCTTTTAGTGCTACTGTTGCTGTTTCTTTTGATCTTTACGTACATATTTTGTTGATTAAAAATTTTTAAAAATTTGTTGCCTATGTTGAAAGATCAGATCTCACATGAGAATCCAGCTTTCAAGTTTCTCTTGAAACACCAGAGCCACACTGGGTCTTAATTCCTGCATAACAACTACTGGCCAGCCTGGGCAGGGACCCCTCTGACTAGGGCAGGCTCTCCCCACTTTGTCAGAGATACACCCACTGTCAACTGCCTGCCTCCTTCCCTACAAGCTTATGAGCTGGAGGTCCCTGGTCTACAACATTACTTCCCCGTTTTATCATGTTGAAATGGTTGAAAATACTCTTAATATATTACGATATATATTTTGTAATTCAAGTTCTTGATTTTTAAAAAATGTTATTTCCCTAATAAACTCTATGATAACTTATTTCTACCCTCCATTCACAATTGTTCAGACTGTAAAGATGAAAACACAACAGTTATACAAAGTCTTCACATTTTTCTCCATTTTAAATAGAGTCAAACACTTATGAGGTAAAAAAAAAGTTGACAAAATTGTATCTTAAATTATTCCCAAGTAGTCACAGGCTTTTAAAATATTCTACTTGTGTGTAACAAGAGACAGGGAAAACTGCTTCCCTATTAGAGACAGTTCTGAGATACCCTTTGGGTATTTCTGGTTGCTATGATACATATAAGAGAGTATAACCATTTATTTGCAGGAACAGGGAACACACAGTACAGGAACTGGGATGAGACGACACAGATTTTTTAAATAAAGTTCACTATGGGGTTTTCCATGCTCTTAGACGAAAATGCAAATGAGATCAAGAAGGGTTACAATAAATTCTTGATGGGGTGACATAAGATTAGTAAGGCTAGATAATTACAATGCAGCTCCAAAGTCTTGAGGCAACCAGGATCCTTGCACTATACTAAGGCATCCAGACAATCAAAAACCTTTCTTAAATGAAGGTGAATTAAGTCAAACATGCTGTAAAATTTTTACTTTATGTAAGACAGTGTATCAACAACGTGAGGGAGGGAATCAAGGTACAGGAAGTCTAAGGACACATCACTAAACTGAAGAAATCTCTAAGATGATGAGTTTACATGGCAAAGGAACAAGTGGTAAGAGCCAGAGCAGCAGCAAAGACGTGTGATATTTAAGACACAAATAAGGAAGTCAGAGCACAAGCTACTTTTTTTTTTAAGTTAGGCCTATGTCACAGGTTAATTATCAGGCTACCTACAAATACTTTATAGTTCATATGTTAGAAATTGTTCCGTGGATTAGGGCTGGCCCAGACGTGAAGCAGCAGATAAAAGGGATGGCATTTGACCAAACATTCTCAATTATCATCGCTGACGACATTTCTCTAAAGGCAAAGGACATCCAACAACCCTGTCACCCTTGAAGAGAATACGGTTGAAGGTATGCACATAACTTTCTCCTGTTTCAGTTTTCAGATGTTCTGTATCTTTGTAATAATTCTCTTGGTTTGGCTGAGGTGAGACTGCATAAAAGGAATGGAAATGTAACAGATGAACAGAAGACAGAACAGCTTCAGACTCAGCTTCTCTTTTTCCCCCCTGTTAGCCAACAGTTTTACCTTTCCCACTGAATCAGCAAGAAATAATAGCTCTGAAAACCACACAAAGAGGTGCTTTTCTTTTTTGTTAGAGAGACTGTCACATGGCTGGCTCATGCAAGCCTCTGCTGCCCTGGGCTACAGATGCACTGTTACCAAGGCCTGCCTAGCACTGAGAGAAAGCCTCCCCCACGAACTCTTTGAGGGTCACTATAATAGGGTTTTGACTATAAGTAACTAAAAAAATGGAGGCCAATTTACAAAAGGTAATATTTTAGCCCTTTAAATGTGACTGCTAATATTTCAAGTTCTACAGATTTATCTGTTTCTAAAGTTCAGCCACTATGCTGAAACTTTTAAGCTGGTTGAACAAAGCTTCAGAACAGGTGGAATTTAATGGTACCTAGGCCTGACAATGCCAAGTTAAGCCACCTAATAATCTCAGTCCACTTGTTCATACAGACTATTTTTCTAGTAACAAAGTAAATATATGTTCAATGCAGAAAAATGTGATAATCTATGAACTAACCCAAAGATAACCACTGTGAACATGTGGGTGAACATTCTTTCAAGGAGCACAGCATTAGGAGTGTGGGTACTGTGATGAGATGTTCCAGATAGACAGGAGTAGGTCAGATACTGAACATATGAGAAGTATAGTTCAATTATCTGTTAGATCATTCACCCTGTCACATCACAAGCAACCTATTCTTCCTTTTACCTACTGAAGGATGGTGCATAATTTCCAGGAAACAAAGGGTAAGCATGGTACCCTAATTCCTGTCCTACTCCCTCATTACATGTCCTATAGCAATCACCTAGTTTTCTACATCTTAGCTGCACTTACATAACCCTAACATCAAAATCAAAACAAGAATAGTTAACAACTACTAATATAAGTTTTCCTGAGATATAGCCAAATCCAAGTGTCCTCTACAAAGGTAGAGCTGTCAGAGCCCCGCCCCTCCCCCCTTAAAACCAAGTAGCAAGTTTTGCAAGGTCTCTGAACTTTTTCTTCTCTCTCAATTCTAAAACCAGCATTCTACTTCAGGTCTTCCAACAACCTGTCTGAATCCACAACTGCTACAGTAACTCTGTCAAACATCACTTTTGCCTTAAGTGCCTTACAACCTATAGGAGCCAAGTGGATCTGAATCAAAAGGATGCAGCTGAGGTCCAGCAACTGCCCTACCACACTGATTTCAATAGTGAAACCTTTGGGGTCCTCCAAGAAGAGCACTGATCATTTCCATCTGGGATATTTCTTCAGGACTTTTACTGTCGCATCTGTCACAGAAGCACGCATTAACTACTTTCTGTTCATCAGGCTGTGTACTAGGCGCAGGAAGGGAGGATGTAAAATAGGAAACATAATCTTTGTCCTCAGACATTACAATCTAGCTACAGATACCAGACACATGATGAAATGTGAGTGACATGAGAATTCTTTGAGTATTCCAAGGGTAAGATTAGCCTAAGAGGACAAAAAGAATGTAGAATTTAAACCTGTTCTAAGTGCTATTTTACGTGTTCTTAGAATCAGTCTTACATCCCCTCTGGAACAAGGAAGTGGATCTAAAAGCATCATGTGGTGAGGGGAAGTAAATGGGGGTGATGAAACTTAAAGCACCAATTAGGAGTCCTAAATCCTAAGGTTAAGGAGGGTAGAGCATGCTGTTGCCACAAGAGGCTCTGGAGAAACATTAGTTCCTTCCTCCTGGTTTTGAATTGCACTCTCTCTCTGTTTCTCCAACCTAACTGTAAGCTCCTGAAGTAAGGAAATAAGGGCCTAAGACTTTACTTCTTCTATTTATTCTAGAGTATCTAGTTAGATATACTGGGCATGGCTGAGAAACTCAACACCTGTATGTTGAGTATCATGTGACTAAATTAAAAATCTTTTAAAAGATACTCTTGAGCTGCACCATTAACAGCTTTAGGGTAACAGAATTGTTGATTTAGCCGCTGCTCTATGGCCAGAACCCAGGAAGCACAGAGACCAAGGACCGCCTCCTCCTCATCCAAAGGTTAATGAGAAGGAGCAGTTTATACCAAGACTGCCTGTTCTTATTTCTTAGGGCTGATGAACTATTTGATTCCTGATCTTCTGCCCCAGGTTAAGAGACACGATGTTGGAAGAGATCCATGGGAAATCACAGGGCTGTCTGATATAATTAGATACAGTCACTACTGTGAGTCCGCTCCCTGCGTGGAGTGGAGCCTGATAAACATTACCATGACACAACCCGATCGCCTCTTTACTCGAGGAGGCACATGCTGTTACATGCCTTCTCTCTATGACCATGGGCATGTTCATCAGACGTGACAGGTCCGATCACAGGGCACGCCCACGCCGTGCTCCTCTCTCTCGGTGCGTACCTCCTCGCAGACTTCACGAACTGCTGCCACGCTCGGCTCCTCCTCAGGCTCCATGCCTCCTCCAGGGACAATCCACCGGTCTGGATAGCGACTGCTGCTCACGAGTAGCACCTGAAAATCACAAAGGTCATGTGGGGTGGTTAAAAACTCAAAAGATACGTTCACACAAATTCAGAGTTTAAACACCACAAAAGTAAAAGTACCTATGACCCCTTGTTTATACCTCTCCAAATCACTTTTTGCAAGGCAGCTTTCGTTTCTCTTTGAAAAATAGACTATCTGCCTAGTAAAAGCAGAAGGGCATCTAAACCAATGGCCATTACCTCTGCTTTCCCCTCAGATCCTGTCACTTGTCCCATCTATCCCCTCCTTCATTTCTTTCTCTAAAGCCCTTTGAACAGAGCTGACAAAAAAACAAAAGAGATTATCTATGATGAGCTGGTGAGTGCTGTGAAGGGTGGGCCAGAAGGACAGAAGTCCTTAGCTGTGGTTGGTTCCAGTTCCAACACTTTCTCTCCTGTGTGTCCTAGCTCCTGCTCCATCAGATGGCCACAGGCCCATACAACGTGCCACCCTAGGCTCTAAGTGTGCACTGAGAACCTAATTTTCTTATCCTCATGAGTAGAACAATTCTTTTCATCATGCTTTCAGCTGAGATAAACTGGAACTTTTTACTATAAACTTTTATTAAGAAGTGAAAAGAAAAGCAAACACACACAAAAATATTGATATAAATACCGTTTACTAATTCAAACTTAACCAGCATTTTAGTCACGGCTGAAATAAAATCTGAATTTCCCTAGTCCCTCTTCCTTACTTCTCTCTAGGACAGTGCTAAACAGTTAGCTGCACTCATTTGGGAGTAGAGTTGGGTCGGCATTATTTCCAAAACTAAAGGAATCCTTAACTGCTTCCGAAACCATCACTTTCTGATGTCTTCGAGCCTCTGTCCTTAACCCAAACCATATTCCTTGCCTGAGCCCTTCACCCCTAACCCACCCCCAGCTCTTAACTTCTACTCTACAGTCATCTTTGTTGCCTGAGAGAAACAGTACCTCCTCTCTAGCCTTTACAGATTCCACCACTGACTTTCTGTCACCTACCTTACCTTCCAGTCATCTCCTCTCCCCCTGAGGTCTCTGCAACTATCAGCCCTTGGAAATCCCACACTTTTCTTCATGCTTAATCCCTTTACTTCCTGTCATCATAGATATTCCTGATGATCCTCTACAAACTCTGTGATCTGCACGCCCAGAGGGGACCAAAGAGTTACAAGAAGTAAGTCCATGAATCAGCCACTGATATATAGCCTGTGGACTGAGAAAATGTGTTATGCTTACAAGTACTATTTTTTAAATATATGTAAGTTCTGCTTTAATACAATGTAAAATAATTTAAAATAATATAAAATCCACAGTAGTTTTGGGTTGGTATGTATATATGTTTAATCAGGGATATTAAAAGTACAATGTGGAGGCTTCATGAAATTTTGTTTTTATTATTATTATTAGTTTTTTTAAGGGTTGGCAGAGCCAGCTGAGACTTTATTTTCAGAAAGAAACACCTGATTTGGCTTTTAGTTGGGGGCATGGGTAAGAGGTGGTCCCCCAGGCAGTAAACTCCCCCATCCAAAGGGTGAGCTGAGGACTGGGACTGAGCCTCAGGTGGGTCTCCTGTGCCCACGGCTCCCCTGCACAGCTCCATTCCCACCGGCTTGGAGGACAGGAGGGACTGCAGTAGTTTTCACTTGGGCAGGACATCAGATGACTCAAGAACACCAGCTTCCCATTGCAGGTCTCAACCTTTCTCACAGCCACTGTCTTGGAGGAGCTGGTGCTGATGCAGCCGAAGGAGCCAGACCCTCTGCAAGAGCTCAAGTTGGCCTGAAAGCCCAGGGCATAGTCAAGGTTCTGATAAGCCAGGCTCAGCCCACCTGAGTAGCTGCTGGTGGTCTTGGTATGGATACTCATGTTCTGCATCCTAGACTCCAGCTGGTTCTTCTTGCCATCCAGCAGCTTGGGGTAGGTGGCAATCTCCATACCCAAGGCCAGCTTGACGTTCATGTGCTCCTGGTACTCACAAAGCTGCCAGTTCTCAGAGTGGCTTCCAGCTCAGCCACCTTGGCCTGAGCATCCTTACAGCCAACTCCCCATGCTGCTCAGCATCAGTGATGGCAGCCTCCAGGGGAGCCCTCTGACTTTTGAGGTCCTCAGTCTCAGTCTGGAGTTAGCTGATGTTCCAGTTCACCTCAGAAATCTTTGTGTGACACAGGTCATCCCTGTGCTTCCCAGCCAACATCTGCAGCTCCTCATATTTGATCTGGTACATGGTCTCAGCCTTTGCCTGGCTGCAGTTGGCGATCTCCTCATACTGGGCCTTGACCTCAGGGATGATGCCATCCAGGTCCAGGGAGCAGTTGTCCATGGAGAGCACCACGGACATGTCAGAGATCTGGGTCTGCAGCTCACCGATCCCCTCTTCATACAGCTGCCTGTAGAGACTAATCTCATTGGTCGGCCCTTCCAGGCAGGAACCCAGCTCCACCTTGTTCATGTGAGCTTCATCCACATTGTTCCTGATGAGAACAATTTGTTCTCCATCTCTGTGCGCTTGCTGATATCACCCTTCGAGTTCTCCACCAGCCCCTGCAAGTTGCCGAACTCTGCCTCCAGCCTGTTTTCCCTGGGCCGGCGTGCCGCTGCAGGTTATTGATGCAGCTCTCGAACATGTTGGTCATGTTACTGCGAGTCATCTGCTGCTGCTGCAGGAGGTTCCATTTGGTCTCTAGAACCTTATTCTGCTACTCTAGGCTCCGCACCTTATTGACGAAGGAAGCAAACTTATTGTCGAGGCTCCTGATCTGCTCCTTCTCCTGGTTGCACACAGCCTGGATGCTGGGGTCCACCTCCAGCTTTAGAGGGCTCAGCAGGCTCTGGTTCACTTGGACAGCTGTGATGCTCCCCATATACCCAGCCCCGCCATAACCCCCGGCTCGATTCATGTTGGAGCCCAGGGGAACCTGGTAGCCACTGCCCACCTGGGAAAAGGCTGAAGAGTGGATGCAGGTGCCAGATCCACTCGAATATGAGTGGCTGCTGAAGGCCGGGGACCTTGTAGATCTTCTGGGTCACCCTTGTGGGCATGGTGGAGGGTGGAGTGGAGGCAAGGAGGCCGTACCAGACAGAGATTCAAGAAACAGCTAAAAAGCTGCCTGAAACTTTTTTTTAAGTAAAAGTCCTCACTGGATTCCTGCTTCATACCATATACATAAATTAACACAAAATGGGCCAACAACTTAAATGTAAGAGTTAAACTATAAAATGGGGGTAAATATTAATGATTTGGGATTTGACAAGATATGCCAAATTCTTAGACATGACACCAAAAGCATGAGCAACAAACAGATAAATAGGACTTCATAAAAATTAAAAATTTCTGTGCATCAAAGGACATTATTAAGAATGTGAAAACACGACCTACAGAATGGGAGGAAATGTTTGCAAGTCATCTATCTGATAAGGGTATGATATCCAAAATATATAAAGAACTCTTGCAGCTCAACAACAAAGAAAATATACAAAGAGCCAACAGGCACATGAAAAGATGCAACATTGGTCACTAGGGAAGTGCAAAGTAAAACCACATGAAACACCACTTGACACCCACCAGAATGGCTGAATTCTAAAAATAACAAGTAGCCCAGCCAGGCATGGCTCAGCGGTTGAGTGTCAACCTAGGATCCAGGAGATTGGTGTTCGATTCCCAGTCTGGGAGCATGCCCGGTTGCGGGCTGCAGCCGATTAATGACTTTCTCACCATTGAGGTTTCTATCTCTCTCTCTCTCCCTTCCTCTCTCTGAAATCAATATATATTTTTAAAAAATAAATAAGTAAAAATAAAAACACCAAGTACTGACCGGATGCAGAGAAACTGGAACCCTCATACATTGCTGGTAGGAATGTAAAATAGTTCAGGTACTATGGGAAACAGTTTGGTGGTTTCTCAAAAAGTTAAACATAAAATTACCATACAATCTAGCAATTCCTCTCAGAATGGAAAACGCCAAAAGACCTGAAAACAGAGACTCAAACACTTACCCACACCAATGCTCACGGCAGCGTTCTTCCCAACAGCCGGAAAGCAGAAATGACTCAGGTGAATGCACGGGTAAGCCAAGTGTGCACATACGCACATGGAGTGACCAGCATTCCATCATAAAGAGGAACGAAGTACTGATTCATGCTACACGGTGGATGAACTTTGAAAACATTATGCTAAGTGAAAACCAGACTCAAAGAGTCACTTACTGTATGATTCCATATATATGAAATATGCAGAACAGGCAAACCCACAGAGACAGGAAGCAGACTGATGCTTGCCAGGGGCTGGGGGAAGGAAAGCATGGTGAGCAATGGCACAGGGTTTTATTTTGGAATGGTAAGTGTTTTGAAACTAGATAGAAGTGGTGGTTGCTAAATGCCACTGACTTGTTCATTTTTATTTAATTTTTATTTTTTAAAAAAATATATCTTTATTGATTTCAGAGAGAAGAAAGGAGAGGGAGAGAGAGAGACAGAAACACCAATGATGAGAGAGTCACTGATCAAGCCCGCAACCTGGGCATGTGCCCTGACCGGGAATTGAACCCCGATCGCCTGGATCCTAGGTCGACGCTCAACCGCTGAGCCACACCCGGCTGGGCTGACTTGTTCATTTTAAAATGGTTAATGTTATGCTATGTGAACTTCACCTCAATAAAATAAAACTACTTTTAAGATCACAATAATTCTTTAAAAGCTAATGAAGTCAATGCCACTACTCTCTTCTTCAGAGTCTATACTTCAGGACAGCAGCCTTTCAAAAGATTACCCTTAGTTTTGTAATATTATGTTACAAAGCTAAAGTAATACACTATTTCCATAAAAAAAAAAAAAAAAGGGGGGGAGGGAATCACTGCCACACCCATTCTTTCCAGTAACTGGGGCCAATCTTACATTGTTTGTTTTTTATCCTCACCTGAGGATATTTTTTCCACTGCTTTTCCAGAGAGGGGAGGGG